TGAATATGACTGATGTTCCTAATAGGATGCTTCATTTGTAGGTGAAGTCATAGAAACTCATTTCATAAGAAAAGTTTACCTAAATTGTCCTGTGTTTTAGCTCCACAAACCAGTAATAATTGTTCACTTAGTGGGAACCTACTAGTCAACTTAGAATTTGAAAAATGCGGCTCTATTTCATTCAATGATTGTCACAGCATAAAGACTTTGTAACCCTGTGATTTCCAGTGTGACCTTCTTTTATGTGTAATATGAAAAGGTTCTTTAAAATTCCCATAGATAATAACGAGCAGTGAAAATTAAATATTTATGTGTTTAATTATTCTTATTTTTAGTAAAGAAGGAAGTTTCATACTTTGGAATTTTGAAGACTGTTATCTACAGAAGCTGTTAGTTTTGTGAATATCTGTAGTATATTTTTTATATAAAGAGTAACATTGCATGGCTGTTGACTGAAGATTGTGATGTTGAAACATTGCAATGTTGAAACATAATAATGAACTATTGAAACAATAGTTATTTATATTATATCTATATATCTGGATGAATGAAATAACTAGGTGGTATTTGTAACTTCACAGTGCACGTCCTAAGAATAACTGAATTATAAAAGTTGGGACTTTACAAATATAATAAATATGTATAGATATGAAAGCATCCTTAAGAACATCTCCCAGTCAGGCAGTGTATGCTGTGAACACCAGTTCTGTGCTTCTATTTTATTTATTAAAAAAAATTTTTTTTTTAAAAGTATTCTCAAGGGACATGTATGTTTGAGGGGAAAATCAGGCAAGGCTGTAACAGTGTAATTAAGCTTCAGTTTTTTATGTAACAGTATTCCAGAGACTTACTGTCTCTACAATACACTAATTATAGAATAAGCAGTATCATAACCGTTAGAAAGACAGTATCTTCATGTTTTGGTCTGCAGGCTTTTTTTTTTTCTACTTCTTATAATGGAAGACTGTTCTGAAATTAATTATATTTTCAGTAGAAATCATAATTCTGTCTAATTTAGTGTTGGTTGACATATATACTTTCATTGTGTGTGCGTATCTTAGCTGCACTGCAGACAAACTGATCTGTTCTAGACAGAGCATGGTATAGAGGAGATGTAGGAATGGGCTGAAGTATCCTTTATATTTGCCTTTGTATCTAGGGGAGTTGACAATAGGCAAGAATGGAGAGAAATTTTGTATGACAGTGCACAGAATTTTGCAAGTTTAATGTGAGCCCTTCAACAATCCGATGCGTTTTAGTTACTGGTAAGTTTGTTAAATTCTATTTGAAAAATTGTTCATCTTAGAAGACAGTCTTCTAATCAATATTATTTCCCCTGTATCAACAGCAGCCTTTTTAAAAGCATAATTTTGGCAACCTGGTTCTGCTGGTGAAAATTTTTATATTTAAAATCTTCAGGTTGAATATATTTTCAGGTGCCAGGATGACTACATTAATTAACAATCCTTAGAAATATGTTAAAAGCTCTGGATACAGTGCTCTAAATTAGGCAGTCAGTTCTCTAGAAGACTAAATTTTTAGAATGCAAAATTGAGGAGAAAAGATCCATTATGTCAGTATGGGTTTATATAGACATACACACAGACACTGAAATGCTTGACGTCAGT